GGGCGGGCGGGCGATCCGACGAGCTTCCACGGCGGGATGGCGAGATGGCGAGACCGCAAGACTCGACGCTCTTCACCACTTCCGAACGTTGAGTCAAAATTGCAGCCATGGAAAAGCACATGACCTCGAGTCGGGCACGCACTGCTGCCGATCCGATGCGGAGACCAATCTGCGCGAGATGATGGCGAGGGTTGAGAGGCTGAGATGCGTTCGGACCAGCGCCGATGCGGGTCGCGCCGACAGCGATCGTGCCGACAGCGGAAGCGCCGATGGGAGCGTGCGCCGCCCGCACAGCAGCCGAGTTGGATGAAGCGGTACCAGAGCAGCGCATCCCATCGATCTAAGCGAGACGGCTGACAGGATTACCTGCATGCTGCCCCGCAGGATGCGCACGATGAGGCGAAGCAGCTTCGCCCCACGCACCGAGCTCCTATCCCGCACCCCGGCGCTGCCGAGCCTCCACGATCCGCCCAACGCGATCCACCCAACGAGTGCCAAGCGCCTCGCCTCACCTCGTCCGTCGGCTCGGAAGACATGCTCTGGCATTCACGCTTGGCGCCTGATGCGAGACAGCTCACTGTTCTGCGCCATCGACGAATCATCCATCTACCCCCAGGTGAACTCGTTTCATGCGGCACTCGGCAGTGACAGAAAGTGTACCTCTGTTTAGGGGCTCGCCGCAGCCATGACCACCGTTCGCATGGATGTCGGAGTTGGCTTCGCCTTGGCGAGGAAAATCAAAGCTTTGCTCCGGAATGCGGGGAAGCCCGTTTGGCGACTTTCGAGCCGATCCGATCCTGTTAGAGTGCTCTGATTTGGGCGACTCTGTTAACTCTCTCCTATTTGCTTGGATGCCGACTTCCGAGGCCGAGTCCGTTTGGGCCGAAAAGCTGCGCGGCCACCGAGCCCGCGAAAAAAAATCAGAAACGCGAGCCGAGCGCAGGGACCCACCCGCCGCCGGGTCCATGTCGTCCGACGCCAGTCGGTGCCATCTCATCTTCTCCTCCTCCTCCTCCTCCTCCTC